TTGACTTCAGTCAGTGACAAAAGGACTATGAGCGGGGGGGAAAAACAGAAAAAAAAAAAAAACATGAAAAGGAGAGACAGGAGCAACTCCAAAAGGAATAGGAGAAGGCCTTTTCCACTCAGCTACAACTGGGTGAATAGACATGAGAATTCCTTCCAATTCAGCCAGCCCAACACATCCCAACAAACAGTAGTGGATCCGCCAGCTATTCCCACATTTCCAAACCAAAAGCCCTGTACTTTGAAGACTGCATGCACCTTTTGGCAGAGATTCCCATTTGTAGGTAACCATGAGTCACTCGCCCTGGAGATCCCCAGCCACGTGGAAAACCCAGTCTTCAGCAGTCTGGGTCAGGCTTGACAGTTCTCTGGAGACAGTCATGACTGATCTAGACAGCATGCAGCAGGACATGGACCAAGTTTGGCAGGAGCTACTTTCCATTCCCGAGTTACAGTGTCTTAATACTGAAAACAAGCTGTTGGTTGAGACTTCCACTGTTCCCAGCCCAGAAGCCAACCTGACATAAATTGACAGCAATTACCGTTTCTACTCCTCCACCCCCCCCCCCCCCCCCCCCCCCCCCCCCCCCCCCCCCCGCTGGATAAAGAAATTGGCAGCTACAGTCCCCATTTCCTTCACGGTTTTGAAGATTCTCTCAGCAGCATCCTCTCCACAGAAGATGCCAGCCAGCTCAACTCCTTAGATTCAAATCCCACATTAAATACAGATTTTGGTGTTGAGTTTTATTCTGCTTTTGAAGCAGAGGCCAGTGGCAGTAGCAGTGTGCCTTTCTCTGCTCCTGTCAGTCAGTCACTCTCTGAACTTCTTCTGGGAGGGCCTATTGATGGCTGTGATCTGTCACTCTGTAAAGCTTTCAGCCAGAAACATTCTGAGAGCACAGCATAATTCAATGACTTGGACTCTGGCATCTCCCTGAACACTAGTCCCAGCCGAGCATCCCCAGAACACTCTGTGGAATCTTCCATTTATGGAGACTCACCGTCTGGGCTCAGTGACTCTGAAATGGAAGAGCTAGATAGTGCCCCTGGAAGTGTCAAACATAATGGTCCTAAGACACAGCCAACACATTCTTCTGGGGATCCGGCACAGCCTCTGTCACCAGCTCAAGGGCACTGTGTTCCTGTGCATGATCTGCATTGTGAAAATACAACAGCAAAAGAAACACCTGAGAGTCCTGGTCATCAAAAAGTCCCATTCACAAAAGACAAACATTCAAACCGATTGGAGGCTCATCTCACGAGAGATGAGCTTATGGCAAAAGCTCTCCATATCCCATTCCTTGTTGAAAAAAAAAATCATTAACCTCCCTGTTAATGACTTCAATGAAATGATGTCCAAGGAGGAATTCAATGAAGCTCAGCTTGCATTGATCCGAGATATACGCAGGCGAGGTAAGAATAAAGTCGCCGCTCAGAACTGTAGAAAAAGGAAACTGGAGAACATAGTAGAACTGGAGCAAGACCTAGGCCACTTAAAAGATGAGCGAGAAAAGCTACTCAGAGAAAAGGGAGAAAACGACAGAAACCTCCATCTCCTGAAGAGGCAGCTCAGCACCTTTTATCTCGAAGTCTTCAGCATGTTACCTGATGAGGCTGGAAACCCTTACTCTCCTAGTGAGTACTCCCTGCAGCAGACCAGCGATGCCAATGTGTTCCTGGTTCCCAAAAGCAAGAAGTCAGATACTAAGAAAAACTTGTTTCGGGAAGGTGGAGCCTTTTGTTCTGAGCTAGTGTTTGTTTTGTACTGGTAGAACTTCCTACTGTAATGTGGAATGCAGAAACACTTTATAAGTAACTATGCAGAATTCTAGTCATGGCTAGTGTAGAAATAATAAGAAACTTGATGAAACATTAAAGTCTCGATGTTGAATCAGTTTCATTTTAACTCTGGAGTTAATTTCTTGGGGCTCCACTTGGGCTAGTTTCTGTGTAAGTGTAAATACTACAAAACTTATTTATACTGTTCCTATTTGTTACACTCATAAATTTACATGAC